AGGTACTATTTTCTTGATTTCAGATGAAGAAATAGAAGCTTTAAAAGGTTAAGGAAACAAGTAATCTAAAAAGGAAATTAAGAAAGCAATTACATTTACAATAGCACCCAGAAGAATTAAATACTCAGGAATAAATCTAACCAAGAAGGTGAGAGATTTATCCCCTGAACTATAATACATTGCTAACGATAAAGAGGACATTAGGTAAGTGGAAAGATAATCCATGTTCATGGATAGGAAGACTTAACATTGTTAGGATGCCAGAACTATGCAGAGTATCTACAGATTCAATACAGTGCCCTTCAAATTCCAACATCTTCTTTCAAATAAATAAAACAGACAGTTTCCAGATTCATATGAAATCTCAAGAAACACCAAGTAGCCGAGCATGGTGGCATGCTCCTGTAATCCCAGTTCTCAAGAGGCTGAGTCAGGAGGATCGCTGTGAGTTTGAGGCCAGCCTGGGCTACACAGTAAGTTCAAGGCAGCCTGGAACTACACAGTGAGACCTTGTCTCAAGAAACCACAAAAAAAAAAAAAAAAAAATTTAAAAAGATACATTGTCAAGGAGGGCAGCTGCAAGTTTCCAAGAGAGAAACCCTCACAGTCAGGGTGAGAGATTGGGGTTTTTATGAGGGTTTTAGCATATAGGATCCATGCAGCAGTTGTCACTTTATCTAAAGGGTGTCTTTTCCTGGATCATTTAGCACCTTGCAGAGCTTCCTGGACAGCTGTATTTCCAGCACCGCTCTCCTCTGACCGCAGAGGGTCATTAGCTTTGAGCAAGGAGAAGACAAGGTGGTCTGTGCGTGTCTTGTAGAGAAGGTGGGTCGGGACTCTGGGAGGAATGAGTGGGCCTGGCGTCAGAGGTCCGTTGCTGCCTTGCACTGGCCTGAGGGCAGGACGTCTTTAACCACCACGCCTACGTGACAGGCTCTCGTCCCTTTTGTTGCCAGTAGGCAGCTCGCACAGTATCCATACAGTGGGAAGATTGTTTGATGGTGCAGAGCTTGTGCTAGAGATGACGGAGACGTGGTGTAGAGAGTGGTGATGGTCATAACACCAGTGTGAATGCAGTTAACTGCAGAAACTGAGTTGTACTCTGCAAATGGGTAAAATACTATTATGTTACATATATTTTAATGAAAGCAGCTTTCAAAAAAGGAGGCTGAAGAGCATTCCCAGAGTCACACAGTTTCTAAGTGAAAGAGCGAGACTTCAGCCCGGGCCATCCAACTCCCAGGCTGTTAGGGGCGGGTGGAGGGTGCTTGTGGCTCTGCAGGGTACTTTGGGCCTCTTCTGTAACGTAGGAGTACTGAGAATGGGAGAGCCCGTGTTTTTTATCTAAAGTGACCTGTTATGTCTGTCCTAAGCCCTAAATTTTTAACATCAAAATATATCAGTTACTTTTTGTAGTTAAGAGTTGGCTACTTCAGAAATCTACCAGTGTTTACAAACAAGTGTTTTTGTGCATTATGAAAGGATAATTTTTTTTTCTGTACCGGAAATCGAACTCAGGACCTTGCACTTGCCAGGCAGGCGCTTATGCTGCTGAGCTATATCCCTGGCCCCTAAAGGATAATTTTTAATGATAAAATCATTACTAGCATACAAATAAAAACAATGTGTCAAAGATGTTAATAATTTATCAGTTAATGACAGAGCCAAAATCCAAAAACCAGACATAATTGTAGGTAATCAGCAGTGCTGAAATGAGTTTGGGAGGAGAAGCAAAACCTGCTCCTTAGGGAAAGAGAACTCAAATGTACCTGTCTTGGACAAAATTCATTTTTATTGCTATGGCCAAGAAACATTTGCATTGTTAAGAGTTGCATACAACTTACAGATCTGAAAGGTTGAGGACAGGCAGTAAATCACGGCACCAGAAAGGTCCACCATATGATATGAGATCTGTTTGTTCATTTCCAGGTCTTTTACAGTGACAGCAGTGATGAAGGAAATCATTTGTAATACCAGTTATGTTGATCATTTGAAATAACTTTCATATTCCCTGTCTTTTTTACTGTCCACAGCCTCTCTGTTGCTCAAGCTGGGCTTGAATTCCTGGGTTTAAGGAATCCTCCTGCCTCAGCTTCTTGAGTAGCTGGGACTATAAGTATCTGCCACTGCCCTTGGCTCAGATAATCTAAACTTGAAATTTGCCATCAGTTGACCTTGCCTTGTCAAGGAACTCCTGAGCCACACAGCTTTTCTCTGCTGGACTGCAGACTGAGGCAGAGCTGTCCCTGGCTGAGTCAGGAATCCTGATACCACCTGTGGTTGCCATGGAGTTTGTTCTTCTCCCTGGGTGTGTTTCCTGGGGCATGAAACAGAAGATGGTTCAAGAGCCAACATCTAGAGTATGACAGTGAAGCTGGGCGCAGTGGCACACGCCTGTAATCTCAGCGGTGGGGAGGCTGAGGCAGGAGGATTGTCCCGAGTTTGAGAACAGCCTGGGCTGCAAATTGAGCTCAAGGCCAGCCTGAACTGCATAGGGAGACCCTGTCTCAAAAAGACAGGAAAAAAAGAAGTATGCCAGTGGAACTGAGCAGTTTTTAATAGGCAAGCAGTTCTGTTCTTGTGTAGGACTTATAATTTAATTCACTGTGTAAAGATGATTACATTATTTCCTTAGCTTTGTTTGTTGGAGACGAATAGAGAGTGCTTGTTAAAAAATATGTCAAAACATGATGTTATCTAAACAGTGGGCCAAATCTTTGAGTTTCTGCCCAGCTTCGAGTTTTATGTGTTGTAGTTCTGTCCTATGCTTCTTGAATTCACGGTTCTGCCTCAGAACCCAATGTCAGTCTTCCGTACCATCAGGTCAGAAGCAGGAACGGGTACTCTGTGGACAGCACTGCCCGTTGTGGCGTCTGTTGTACTGCTGGCTGCAGTTCACAGTCTCCTCTACACCCGTCCTTTCCCTCCATCCCTGCCCCAGCAGGTGGCAAGGACCTGCTTTTTGTGATAGAAAACTTCCTTTATGGTCTAGAAGAAAGGGTTCCTGTTATCCCCCGACACCCCACCTGCCACCGCATGCCAAAAACCCTAGCGTTGGGATCGTGGAACTAAGGGTGAAGGTTGAGCTGTGCTTCAGGCTGCACAAGGGCGGGAGGGGAAGAAGCATGACCCTGACTTCCTGTCTCCTGGGAGACCTGGGCTAAATGGGTCCCCGCCTCATGCTGGGGAACTGCTACAGGTGCTGAGGTTTTCCGTTCTCCTGTCCTCTCCACTACTGTTACTTGGCTGGATCACCTGCAGTGGACACAGCTTTGCCAGAAGACTGAGTCAAAGGACAAGGGATTTTTTTTCTTAACACAGCTACTGGAATTTCCTGAGGTCTTGCACCCCCAGGTCCCCTCCTTACGACCCTCTCTCCCCACTTCCTGCAGTGGTTCAGCAGCTCTGGGACCTCGTTCATTGAAATCATGTTCTTGTGGCAAAGGAGAACTCACGCGTAGCAAACACGAGTCTCCCAGCGGCCGCCGCTCAGGGAAAGGCCGGTCCTTTCTCTCGGGGAGTTGATACGTGGGGAGGCCCTGCTCATGGGGCTGCTCTGGGCGCAGGGCTGGGCCCGAGGTAGCCTCGGACCAGGTATCAGGACAGCAGGCCCGCTGCAGTTGCTCCTCCCACCTTCAGCCCATTTCATCCAAGTGAAAACATACTCCAAGCGGGGTCAAGTGAAGCTGACTTAATCTAATTTAACATTTTATTTTTCCATGTCCTTTCTTTTTGTCCTCTCCTTAATAGCACTTTATAAAATGATACTTGATTACTTTTAAGAATATGCTTCTCAAACATTTGTAGAGAGAATTTAATAGGTAGCATTCATATTAAATATAATAGTACTGTCTAGCATAGGACCAGGTCCTGAGTCTTGATGTCTTTTGTTTCTTTCTTGTGTGTAAGTGATCTATACAGTCCGAGCGGTTGTGTGACTGTGGGTCTGTTCCTGGTGTGCTCGTGTGTGATGCGGAGGGCACTGCGTTGTCTTCTGATGAACGGGCTGTGGCGTAGGAGTACGTGAGTCTCAGACGTCCACTAGTATTACTCCAAAGTGGAGCTCATAGGATAGCTCAGTTCTCCTCACCACTAAGTTCTCCCAGCACCTCTCTGAGGGTGCTGAAAGCCAGATACAGAGAGGTAAAGTGACTTTGTTTGAGGCCAACCGGGAAGCCAGAGCCAGGCTCGAAGGCTCTGGTTAGCGCTCGTGTAACGCTGATCTCGTGGCGCAGGGAATAATTGCCGTTAATGTTCTGGGCTGTGTCACTTTACCCGCACGCATGAGCGTGTGAGAGCGAGCTGTGCTGTGTGACATCCCATGCCCTCTTCTTTGCCCAGTTTAACCTCGTATCAAAAGAAGTTTTTCACCTTACTCAGAACACCTGGAAAGCGGTCTTAGCGACTGTGCAGTGCTCTTCTCAGGGATGTGCGCGCCCGCGCACTTCACCGTGTTCCCGCTGCTGCGTGTTGCGGTGAGGCTCAGTTCTGACCGGGTAGCACCTCTGTAAGAAACTCCACACAGGGACTCACATATTTTTGCTTATGTCCTTAAGGATAATTTGCTACAAAAAAGAATCACTGAGTCTGAGATGATGAATATTAGGAATGCTCCCAGTGTATTGCCAGATTGCTTTACTGAAGGACAGAAACAGTTTATATTTCCACAAGCAAAACTTTGAGAAGATATTTGTATTTCCTCATGTCCTTTTTTTTTATCTTACCAGTAGTAGGTATTGAACTCGGGACCTTCACACGGAACTACATCTTTAGCCCTTTTTTTTTTTTTTTTTTTTTTTTTTGTCTTTTCTTCCAGTACCAGGAATCGAGCTCACGACCTTGCGCTTGCCAGGCAGGCGCTTTTGCCACTGAGCTAAATCCCCAGCCCCAGTCCTTTTTATTTTTCAGCCAGGATCTTGCTAAGTCACTAAGTTGCCAGGCTAAAGCTGAAACTTGAGATCCTCCTGCTTCAGCCTCCCACAGGGTTGTGGTCACAGCCTTGTGCCACCAAGCCTGCCTCATTCATACATATATATATAAAATTTTTTTTTTGAGACAGCATCTTATGTGATCCAGATTAGCCTTCAACTCAGGCTGGCCTCAAATTCACGCCAATTCTCCTGCCTCGGCCTTCTAGTGCTTGCACTCCAAGTGTGCACCCCCGTGCCCGGCTTCTTTGCTTTAACACTGACCTTTGTCATTTCTTACACTTCTTTGTTACTCCATTTGGGTAACAGAAGATGCCGTCTTGCTGTCATAACAGATTTCTCTGCATCTCGTGAAGTCATAGTCTTTACAGATGCGATTAGCCCTTTGTTAAGAACCACTCCTCTTGCCCAAGAGAAGAGCTTCAAGATGGGACAGTTCCGGGAGGAAAGGTTTGCAGGGCAGATCCACGCATTTGTTTTCCCTCACCTGAAAAAGTGCGTCCTGCTGGGGGCCGAGTGAGACAGACGCTGCTGCCTGCTCCGGGGCTGCGGTGGCCTGATGGGAGGGTGCGGAACTGCCGCTGAGCGTGTGGACGCGTGGACTCCGGGCTGCTCTGTCGCCTCCCTGTGCAGTGGTGTTTGCTGGTTCTCAGTTTTAAGGAGGAATCAGAGTGTGTTCTGTGAAAACACAGTGTTCCCTGGCCCTCGGGGAGCGCTGCCCAAGGTCTGGGAGATTGGTCTTAAAATCCAGCAGAGCCCTGTCTCTCTCCCAGTTATTCACTGGCATCATTTTCTTGACTGCAGCTTTCATTCTTGAGGCCTGTATTTTAATAATGGAACATTTTGAAGTGCAGATTAGTCCTGAGTTTATTGAATTTCTTGTAACAACTTCCCAGGGCCAACTTGCCATCTTTTGCATTATGAGGTCTAGTTGTACTAGAGGTACCCCTGCCCCTCGGGCTCGAAGCCCGATTCAGTACCACCCGGGGAAGGGATTGGATGTCCTGCAGCATCGGTTATGTAACTGTGGATTGGCTTTCACTGCCAGCCTGCTTCCTCCTGTGATAGTGAAACAAGGGCTGGCAGCAGTAATCGGATCTCGGGAAAGCTGCAGAGCCCCACAGCCTCTGCGTCCGCGGTTGCGTAGTGTGGCAACCTGAAGCTGGAGTGCTTTCTTGCCGTGCGTTAATTTTAATTAGCAACGACACCTGCCTCCTGGTCTGCGCTGGCTCTCCAGGCCGCTAACCTGATCACTGGAGTCTTTTCTCTGCCCGGATCTCCGACACTGCTCGGAACGCACTGCCAAGAGCAGCAGGCAGAAAATCTCCCATTTCCACAAGCCACAGAGTAACCCAAAACTGCTAGGTTTCCTGAAATGACTAGGTGCTATGAAAGAAGTTTAAAAGATGAGGGAAGACCTCTAGAATACGGTTGAGTCAGACCTTGAAAGATCAGGTAACATTGCAGGTATGACTGTGCAAACACGCGTAACTCAGGCCTTCACACTTGCAAAAAAGTACGTGGTTCCACTGTTCAGTCTGCAAAGAACTTTGCTAATTCTCACAAATAGCCCCGCAGGGAGTTTAGTGCACTGCAGAGCATAATTCGTTCTGTCAAGTGGCCATTAAGCAGCGAAAGTGCGACTTGCTGTGTTTTTCTGACAGATCACTTCTGCCTGGGTCTTAAAGAGGAACCCAGGACAGCCCCGGAGAGTACACCAGAGACCCTTCACCCTCCAGGGCTCCCCGGCTCACTGCTCATGCCCCAGCGTGTCTCCAGGACATTAGAGTCCCAAACCAGGGCTTGCTACTGCTCAACATAGTCAGTAATCACTTTTGGAAGGAAAGGAGTTAGTGAAAACAAATTCTTTTTAACTTTATGAGATACAAGAATAGACGAGAGAAAAAGAAAAAAAAAAGAGTGGAAAAATCATAGCAAAACCAAAATAAATTATGTAGATACAGTACCGTGGTAGGTAGCTGTGTGATTATTACGTCATTTGTTAACACATTCTGTCATCGCTTTCAGAAGGAAGTATGTAAAGACGGTGACAAAGGAAAGATTTCAGAATCCTTCATAAGATAGTAGAAGAAGAAGGAGGATGGCTGGCTGAGAAACTAAAAGAAAAGCAAGGCTAGCCATGTGGTGGAATAGCACCAAAGATTTTCTACATGTTTAAGGCCTCTACTCTTCTTTTTAGATTTCTGACCACCCCTCACATAATAGCTCTTTCCTCTCGAGCTGGAGTGGGAAGGGTAGAGAAGGCCGTCTGTAAGGTAGTGGGGTGCTGCTCCCTATGTCTAGGCTCAAACCCAGAGGAACGAAACGAACCGCCAGCGACAGCACCGTCACCGTCAGTGGGAAAGGAGACAGCCATCACACGGTCCCCCGCCCCGCCCAGCACTGCCAGTGAGGTTGCTGTACTAACAGATGATAGATAGCCTTAGAGTGGAGAGTCACACTTTCAAAAGAGCATCGCTCACCTGGGGCCTGTGACTTCCAGGCTCGCACTGTGCCCTTGTTCACTCCGTCAGGCCCCTTGAGCGGAGGGCGCCGAAAGAGTCAGCCCTGAGAGCGCCGCCGGACAGAGGGTGCACGCAGTGATCGGCTGCGTTTCCCTCTTCATTGCCAGTGAATGTGGTGGCTACAAGGACAGGAAGGTTGTGGGTGTCCTGGGTGCAGCCTCTCCTCCGGGGAGGTGGGGAATGAGTGCTCGTGAAGGAATGGGGGCTCCACCAGGGCCTCCACAGGGGCTCTGGAGCACCTCATCTGTGGCTTCACTAAATGCAAACGAGGAGCTGCACCGGAGCGGTCCCTCTGCTTCTGTCTGTGTTAACTGTCCACACACCTTTTAGAACTTCTGACTGATGTTTTTTTCTCTCTTAGGTTGCAGAGAACACATCTTAGAAGATGCCAAACCCGAGTCTATCAGCGACACTACCGACTTGGCTTTGCCACCTGAGATGCCAATCCTAATTGATTTCCACGCTTTGAAAGACATCCTGGGGCCCCCGATGTATGAAATGGAGGTGATCACTCTCAGTTCGCTCTTGGCGCTCCGGCTTTTTCTGGTGGCTGCTGAATGGGTGGAGGGAGATAGACTCGGGTATCTGCAGAGGCTGTTTTCTCCTAGGATTGGAAACTTGCTTCTTGTATGGTATGGCAGGACTCAGGGACCCTGGCTGCATCTTTTGGAAACCCACTCTTCTTATTTTGACATCCAGCGCCTGGAAGTGTTTTTTGTATTTTTTGCTTTGGGGGAGGGTGGGGCCAAGGTCTGACTGAGTTGTCCAGGCTGGCCTCACACTTGGCGTTCCTCCCACCTCAGCCTCCCAAGTAGCTGGAATTCCAGGCCTGTGCCACTGCCCAGCCTCCTGCTCCTTTTTAAAACAGTGTCTCTAGCCAGTAGGCTGAGGCAGGCTTGTAGCTTGGAGCCCAGCCTGGGCAATTTAGTGATTTAGCAAGATCCTCTCTCAGAAAAAAAAGTCTGAGGATGTAGTGCAGTGCAAAGGCCCTGGGTTCAGTTCCCACTGCACCGCCCAAAAAAGGATTTGTTTGTGTTCTTCAAGGGTTGGGGAGCGGTGGGAAATCCCCCCCAACACAAAGCATCTGAAAACGTGGGCATAGCTTCAGCTTTAGGCTGGAGCACAGCCCCGGGGCGCCCTTCAGGAGCCCGTGACCTCACTACTGGAGCCCCTTCTGAGTCCAGCCCACTGCCCGCTCTGCCTGGCCTCAGGGCTGAGCTGAGGCCCGCCTGGAGATGGGTTTTAGGGCGCGACAGTCAAGGGCCTCAGGAAATAGTTCATAGTGTGCAGAGAGGAGCGTCACAGGGCCATTACTAGAAAGGGTTTGCACTGTAGTACTGAATTTAGCTGCTCTGTTGCCTTCCCTTGCAGTTTAAGGTAAAAAGATTTGTAGAAAATGAATCTGATAAATTAACACGCTCACCTTGTTTATCTGTTTAAACTCTGAGCTGGTCACGAAAGCTAATGAGTCTTTCTGTAGCCCTCCAAGTTGCAGGAACACAATTTGTTTACTCTTTTAAAAACATGTTTTTACATAACTTACTTATTCTTGACAGTAAATCTGAACTTTGGCAATAGAATCAAAAGCACAACTTCGGTTGTTTGGATTCTTAAAATACTATGGATTTGTATTTTGAAGTGTTGAAAGTGCTTGAAGAAAACTTGGATTCAAAGAGGAAGGAGACCTACCTTAGGCCATGTACAGGGTCCGACTCCTGCGGGTCCGAGGGCCTCTGTCCCTGGGCCTTCCAGGATATGTGCATTCCAGCAGTTCTTTGCGAATTCAAACCATAGCTGCAAAGAAAAGTGAAGATGAAGAGTGGTTTCTGTTGCGTAACCCTTTTCTCCCAGCCATTTCTGCTGATGCTAGATTTGGAATCATCAGTGACATTCCTGGAGCTTTGGCCAAGAAAGAGCCAGAAGAACAGAAATGAGAACTTTCATAAACGCTGCTTAATGGCTCTCGTCGGTGTCGCTGGAGAAGAGAAGCTGATTTTATTTCCCTCCAGCAGCCACAGCTATTACATGTGACTTGTACCAGTGCAAACTGAAGAGGACTGCTGTGGTTTGGGGGATTTTGCAAGGGGGACAATACAATCCAGGGCACATATTCTATAAGATTATTTATAGTAGTCACCCAAAAATCATATACAGGAGAGTGCAGGAAATCTGTCCACACACTAAGACCAAGGAACCTTGACCAGCCAAGGGCCTGGATCCCACAAAATGTCCTGCACGAGTCCAGCTGAAGACCTAGAGCTCATCACAATCCCTCCCACAAGTCCAACTGGAGGCCCAGAGCCCATAATACTGTCTCATGCAGGCCTGTTTCACAGATCTGCGCTGGGAAGGCCCAAAGGTCAGTGGTGGATTCTAGAAAGTCTGTGCCAGTGGGATGAAGGATCTGTGCTAGCAGGCTGAGGGATCTGCCCTGGAGCCAGGAAGCAACGCTCAAAGTAAAAACCAGAGCCCCCTGAAAGGTGCCACAGCCATCCTCAGTGACAGTGAGGTCCCGAGCTCCTCCGATGATGAGGACAGCCGAGTTCCCCTCAGGAAAGCCAATGTGACAAGCTTCTCCAGGAGACTGAGTAGTGCACCATCTTCCCCTCCGGAGCCAGGAAGCGATGCTCCAGGTGAGAACCAGAGCTCCCCAAAGTGAACCGAAGCCGTTCTCAGCAACAAGGTCCCGAGCTTCTCGGAGGATGAAAACAGCCAAGTTCATCAGGAAAGCCAGCATGACAAGCTCCTCCAACAGAACCAACAGCTCTTTACAGCTTCCACCAGTTCCCAACAGCCTTTCTCTGCTCCCATCAGCCTTTTTAGTTCCCAGCAGCCTCTCTTCCCCTTCTCCAGGTCTGCCTCTTATGCTGCTGGCAGCAGTCCCCAGGCGGGCCTCCCACACCCAGCACCACACTCACTCAGTTCAGCTGGGGTTATAAGTTGACCCCCCGTTATCAGTCCACAACAGAGACTAATACCCATTTCGCCGTTTGTAGATGGGATCTTAGAGTCAAGGTCTGGTGCCTGTGTAGGCGGAAACTTTCGTTCCTCTTTTTTACCCTGCCGCCTGGGGTTTTTGTCTCTACCTGTGGTGTTCTGATGACAGCCAGCCACAAATTACCGGCCTGCACTCCGCCTTAACTTCTAAATCTACAAAAGTAAGATTTATGGGATACTTTTTTATTATCCAAGTGGGCTACCACAGTGCCTAGGAATCTTCCATCCTATACACAAGGGGAAGATCTTAAAGAGACTAAATAAAGTATCCAGAATCACATAAACAACAACCAGTAGAATCAGTATGCAGACCCGGGCGAGGTGGCTCCAGGCGCAGTGTTCCTTCCCCTCCTCCACAGCACAGCACCCCGTCAGACCAGGGCGGAACTGCTCTTTTTTGCCACAAGACAATGGCGGTGGTATATGGCAGGGTTTGTTTTCTTTTAAGAGCATCTTTTTTTAAAAAAATGGATTTCCACTTACGGTATATCCACTTTTCTTTTTCTTCCTCTCTTTTCCTTTCCTTTTTGTTGCTACTGGGACTTGAACCCGGATCCTGGTGCATGCTAGACAAGCAATCTACCCTGAACTACACCCCCAGGCCTTTCTATTTTGAGACAGAAAATTGGTAAGTTCTGAGGCTGATCTCAACCTTTCCGTCATCATGCCTCAGCCTCCCAGGTAGCTGGAATTGCAGTCATGCACCACGGTAGCCAGCTATAGTATATGTTTACAAAATACCCAGTTGTTTTTATGCTTCTAATTTGTATCCACACTTAATAACTCATTATGGTTATACCCTTTATTGTTCTTTACTTTCTGCAAAGATGTAGCTACAGAAACACATTCAGACCAGAAACCATTGCTCCCCTAGCGCACTGCCACACAGAGAGCGGGAAGGCACACTTCAGTAATGAGCCGCATCCCTTTAGAATTCTCTAGGCAGGTTGGAAAATAGGCTCAGGAACAGTCTAGATTTCAAATTTAGGAACAGTACAAGAGGTCACCTTTCAAATACCGTAGTTTCCTGCAGAAATAAGATCACTTAAACCCATTTCAAAAAATAATTGAATAAAAGGCCTCCCTGTGCTTTAAAAAAAAAAAAAAAGAAACAGGGATGAACAGAGCAGCCCATGTGGCCCAGCTTATCTGACGTAGCTCAGGGTGGCGCCAGCCCTGTCCTCGGAGGCGCCTGCTGACCACGAGCGCGGACCATCGCCCCTGCCCCACCGTGCCCTGCGCTCTCTCCGGTGGGGAACAAGAGCCCAGCTCACCTGTCTGCTGCAGAGCACGCACAGAGGTGGTCAGCAAAGAAAACCAGGCCAGTGGGGTTTTCCGTGAGGTTGCCCGAAGTGCCAAGGCACTGTGTGCCTGGCAGGGTCAGGGTTCTGCCGGTTGGTGACTCCAGCCTCCATTCATGTTTAAAGGGTCCCCCCTTGGGTTAAAACTTCAGTGTTGACGCCTGACTGTGGTGGAGCAACAGTCCTTTGCCAAAGGTCACTGCCCCTAAAAAGTGATAGGAGGAGGAGGACAGACCTTAGAGCATCCCGAATAGAATGCATTCAAGGGTGAACTGCAAGATTGTATCAGCATAGTTGCTTTGCAGGGCAGCAAAATCAGCTGCTAAAAATGGGCAACGAGAAAAAGAAAAAATAGGGAGGAAGCGTATGGGCAAGAATATAAACATTCACTGAATGCCCTGAAGAATCATGGCAGGGAGGAGCTTTTCCACCCCAGTGTGCCCCGCTGTGGGCTGCCCGCTGCTGCCCACCCGGCCTGCCCGGCCGCCTGCCCTCGGGACCTCGCGCTGTGTCCGGAAAGCTCCTGCTGGAAGCCTCTGAAAGCAGCTGCGCTGCGTCTTAGCAGGAGGAGAGTGAGGCTGGACAGGGTCATTCAGTGCCACTTTCATGATGCGACGGCGTAGATCCCAGCTCCACCGTCGCAGGGGAACAGAATCTGCCCTCGCCTTTTCTCAGCGCTACGAAAACACATCCACAACTAGAAGGAAATACTCACCGCACTCAGGCTTCAATCTCAGTACAGACTTTGAAGAGGCTGTCAGATAGATAGCTGCCTTGGTAACAACCTGCAAGGAGAATAAAAAGTGCCGTGAGCTATGAAAGAAACCAGATGGTTGGAAGACATCATATCAGAACAGTCCTGCATACATCACCTGCACCTCGCTCTCGCAGCTCGGGTTTCACGTCTAGCCTGGTACCACGCTTGTCCCTGGGAAGAAGGCTCCATTCCCCAGCACCTGCCAGCCCCTCCATTCTGATGCCTCCTGGCGTCTCTCTGCCCAGTGGACTCCTGCTCAGAAATATTTAAGACTAGCCAGATGTGGTGGCACACGCCTGTGATCCCAGCACTGAGGAATCTGAGGTGGGAGGGTCGCTGCAAGTTTGAGGCCAGCTTGGGCTACATAGTGAGTTCAAGGCCAGCCTGGGCTACACAGCAAGACTCTGCCTCAAAAAAAAAAAAAAAAAACAACTGCATCTCCTTCTCTCACATCTGCCCATCATGCCAGACAGGGGCCCCACTAAGCAGAAGGGAAGAGACGTGCAACATGGGCAGTCTTCTCAGATCTTCCCAAAACACCGGTGTCACTGAAGGGTTAAGAATACTATTATGTGTTAGGTGGCCATTCTAGGTCTTTTTTGTAGGTACAATAAATCTGACTGATTTTTATTACACATCTTAATTTAGAATCACTTTTACAGTCCTAGACAAAGAGATGACACAAATAAATATCAATTGTAAAACTTAGAGCCCCAAATATTGGCATATTCTTGGTCTAAAACTAGCCAAAGAGGCCAGGGATATAGCTCAGAGACACAAGTGCCTGCCTGGCAAGCTCAAGGCCCTGAGTTCAAGTCCCGGTATCAAAAAAAGAAAAAAAAAAAAAACACAAACAAAAAGTAGCCAAAGAGAAAGTAAAGATCAATAGTGACTCCAAGGAGCCATAAAGCCCACCACCTTCTGCCTACCTGGGACCAGTCCTTTCATAAATAACCTCAAAAGCATTTCATTCAAGGAACAGGGCAGGGAGAAAGATACCAGATTTCCAAATAGTACCAGACAAAGTCTTGCATGAGAAACAATCGCCAGGCCCACTCTTCGTACCTAGTTTCCTCTGAGCATTTTCAGAATGACTTTAGGGTACATTAAAAGCCCCATTCTAATCTTAACTAGGTTTTTCTTTAAGTATTTTAAGTGTTTCCTCTGTGTGCATATTTACCGTATTACTGGCACTAGGGGTAAATTGAGTAACAGTGAACTTGAGATACTCACATTCCATCTAATGGGGAAACTATGCTGAACTTCAAGCCTCGGCCTGTCGTGGCTCATATAACCAGAGACTCCACGGCCAGTAATGGGACTGCGAGCTCATAGGAAAGCACCGGCAGATACACACTGTTTTGAAATGATTGTGTGGAGTCGTGTTTTGAGGAAGGCAGTAGCCCTCAGCTTGTCCTGTATAAAGGGATGCCTATATAAGGCATGTGCATCTGTACTCCATCCTTTCTGAGGGAGAAACACAGGGGTCTGGATGCTGATTGTTCAGTTTTATTGCACAAACACATGCCCTCAAAGATTGTGACTCTGGGTCTGAGTTCTATACTTCCTGGAAAACGCCCACAGTCCTCTTTACAGACTCTCTGGGTTTGACAGTAACTTCATGTTATAGCCCCCCAGAGCCTCATGCGGTCATCAGTGGAGCTTTTGAGAAATGGCTGGATCTAGAGTGTGTGACACTGGTATCAGGGGTGTGTGATTACTAAATCAGTCTGCACATTGGTCTGGCATAGTTCTGGGTATGATTAAAGGTGCCCCACCCAGGGTGTGAGTGCTACCCACCCTAAGGGCTGGAGTACAAGGGACAGAAAGACGGCCCTTGCTTGTCGCTTGCTTGCTGCCTTCTGCCTGCCCTGCTGTGCCATGAACTGTTTCTCCTCTGCAGTGCTCCTCTACCACACCACCCTGAGTTGGAGCCAGCCAACAGTGCACTGAAACCTCTGCAAACTCTGAGCCACATAAACCTTTCCCCGTTTAACTTTGGTATCAGGTATTTTGTCGCAGCAGTGAAAAGAACAACTGAGACACGTCGGTTCTCCCACCTGTGGCTGTTGATGTGGATCACCCATATTTGCCGTTAGTCTCATTTTCAGGTTACCATCAGGACACTTCCTGTCAAGGCCTAATGGTGGTAGTGCGCCTGGATGCTTTGGGCGTGGCCTGTGTACTCACCTGTCCCATGCCCCTCCTGGCCACTTCCAGCACATGGAGAGTGTTGAAGGCCGGCCTGCTTTCTGGAGGCCGCATGGGAAGCGAGGATCTTGCTGCTGCCTCTGGGTGTCCTTTCAGTACTGTTCTGACAAACAAGTTTTGAGGATTCAGCTGTAAGAAAATGATTATTCTTGTTACAGCTAACAAAACTGTGCCAAGTAGCTTTTTGTGTTAAATTGAAGCTGCTTTGGTGTATTGAGAATTATTCTTTAAGATTAGTCACCTGTCCTAGAAAGGAGCCCTGGCAAATTCCCACTCACCCCAGATGTTGTTGAGGTATCACAAATTGATTTTATACTAGAACAAGACCATGTTGTGGGCCATTTTATAAACAGTTGTTCGTTTTCCTTCAGTAGTATTGATTCTCCCTTTGGTTTTTTGTGTCTTTCTCATGGAGTAAATTTAGAACTGGGCAGGTGCTTGTGGCCTCTGGTGCATGGTCCCTGCTCGGCTCAGCGGAAGGGTTTGTCAGGGTCTCTCGGGCTCTGACCTAATCTAGGAAATTAATCATAATTAAATACCTAAAGGAGACTTGGAAATGTGCTTCAGCTTCCCTGTATCATCCGTGGATGACGTACAATTTTGGAATAAATTTTAAAATCACAACTGTTGCCCTCTACACAAGCTAGAAAAGGAACAAAGGTCAGCAGCCTGCCTCTGAGCAGAGATCCAGGCCGGACTCTGCCGTTCCTTCTGAGGTGATTGCCCGTCGGTAGACAGCCTCGCGCTTGGGTTAGTTCTGCTGTGGCATGTTGAGCCCAGTCCCTCTGACACAGCTGACTGCACGAGACGGGAAGCTCAGGGGCTCAGGATGCAGCGCAAGTGAACTTTGCTGTTCTTGTTATTTTGTGTTTTCATAACTCGCTTTAAGCTATCCAGGTCAGTCACATGGGCTCAGAGCCGCAGGGGAGTGGCATGTTCCTGGCACCAGGCGGCACAGGGGACTCCAGGCACAGGGGAAGAATCTAGGACGTGGCTCAGAAGAAGCTTGTTTCTCTGCAGCAGTGACAGAAAAGCAGTGATGGGCGTTTGAGAAGCCAGGGCCGGGGGTTTGGAATCCGTTCCTCCACCCTTGACCTCTGGAGCTAACAGTGCGCATGTGTATGGCAGGAAGAGACTACTTCCTGGAACGAATTCCTGATTATCTGCAATGCATTCAGGTTCTGGGGCATGTATAAATATGCAGCCTAGTAAAGATAAATAGATGAAACCATGAGGTTTCTTGAGAGTTAGGGCACATGTAACTAAACCTAGCTCTGAAGAGTCAGTTTACATGTTTTTAGGTAAAATTGCTACTGATAAATGTCAGAGAGGAGCCGGGCGTGGTGGCTTATGCCTGTGATCCCAGCACTCAGGAGGCTGAGGCAGGAGGGTCATTGCGAGTTTGAGGCCAGCCTGGGCTGCAACATGAGCTCAAGGCCAGCCTGAACTGCATAGCAAGACCCTGTCTCAAAAAGACAAAAAACAAAACAAACAAAAAATGTCAGAGAGCTGTTTGTTCTGATGAAAGGCAGACAGTGGTAAGTACGGCCTTAAGTGTCCTGTGGAAAAAGCCCACTTACAGGACAGCATGATTACTCTAGTCAGTGTGAAAATAATCGGCACCTGTTGGCCTAACGCTGCCTTTTCTTCTTGCGTTCAAGGTATCTGAGCGTCTCAGCCAGCCGGGAGTGGCCATAGGTTTGGCATGGACTCCCCTGGGTGGGAAGATCATGTTTGTGGAGGCCAGTCGGATGGATGGCGACGGCCAGCTCACACTGACCGGCCAGTTGGGGGATGTCATGAAGGAGTCGGCCCATCTCGCCATCAGCTGGCTCCGCAGCAATGCCAAGAGATTCCACCTGACCAACGGTGCGCGGCTGCCGCCGGGTGGGAGCCGAGCGGGCGCCGAGCGGGCAGAGCCTGGGGCTGTGATCCGCAGGGCGCTCAGCATTAAGTGATGCGGATCACCGTCATCACACTGCTAGGGAGAGCGCGGACCTTGGCTCCCCAGCCCGTGGGGAGTCTCGTACCTATTTAGGACCACTTGGCTTAGTGCCCGAACTAGAAACTAATTTTAAAAACTTGTATTTGTTTTCTTTTGTTTGGCACCAGAAATCGAACTCAGGACCTTGCCCTTGCCAGTTAAAAGCTTAATTTGTGACCTTTAGAACAAACCTATTCTTCTAGGCCCTCGCTGTAATTATACCACCCATTAATATTTTGAAGAATTTGTTTACCCAAAACATTCTTTTTTGTCTCCGATTTTCTTTTTTAGAGAAAAAAGGAAACACGTTTAATTTTTCTACATTAAAATCATTTTTTCCTTTTTAAAGCTTTTGGAAGTTTTGATCTTCTTGACAACACAGACATCCATCTGCATTTCCCAGCTGGAGCTGTCACGAAAGACGGACCATCTGCTGGCGTTACCATAGTGACCTGTCTCGCCTCGCTCTTCAGTGGGCGGCTCGTGCGCTCAGATGTGGCTATGACTGGGGAGATCACGCTGAGAGGCCTCGTTCTCCCGGTAAGCGCGGAAGAGCCCGTGGATATGGTTTTTAAATTTCATATTTAAACTAATATTGTTAAATTTAAACTAATAGTGGCTTGCCTTTTTCTGTGAAAAACCTGGGTTTTAAACATACATTAAGTTTTTATATCTTATTCTTAAAACTTTTGACCAAATAAAAGAAAATCTGACAGTTTTCCCCATGGTCTCTTGCTAAGGGGAAAAATATTAGTGCAGAAATATCAGGACTTCACACGTGAAAATGTGCAGTCTGCTTTATTGGAGATACCTAGGCCCAACTCTTACCTTTTGAAGTTCCTTTGAACCTCTGCCCTCCTAGAGAAATCTTAGACTACTACAGCTGACAGATTTATAGGACATCAAGTAGCATAGAGTGAAGTCTGCACTGAATATTAGCCACAGCTAACTGTTAAATGTTGAAAAAGCTCTGTGCGTGTGGAGTTGTGGGGCGCCAGTCCATATCCAAGGCTACCTATAAAAACTGGTAAAATGCATAGAACTTGAGATACTGGTGGTATTTTTGGTTTTAAGTGATTAGCACCAGTCTACAACAGAAGTTTTGTCAGATTCATAGCAAAAGGAGAAGAAAAAAGGAATTTGCTTTGCTCTGAGAAAGTCCTCACTTTGTGAAGTAGTGGTGGAAGATCATAGAGTCACCAAGTGTGATTGCTACATTTATGCTACTTCCCAGTTTATAAAATTCATCCATAAAGTCAAATATTCTACTCACTGTGATACATTTGTGGATCTGTGTTAAACAGAATGGACTCATCTTTTCCTCAGCTGACCCTGGAGCTATTGTGTCTGAGGTACAGTGGGGTTCGCATCAGCTGTCTATCAGAAGAGAGTGAGAGGTGCTCTGCTGGCTGCTGGCCACAAACTCCTGCTTCAGGACCCCGCCCCCAGACACAGCGAGGAATGAAAGGGCACAAATTCTAAGCTAGTAACACCCTGCTTCACAAACATTTCTATTCGCAAACACTGCAGTTCGCAAACAGAAGCCTGCGGCAGAATTGTGCTTCCTTTTGCAAAATCACCCTGACTGCAGCGAAAGGCAGTCTTCCAGGAGAAATGCGGGCTAGGGTGGCTCTGGGCCAGAAGACAGAGGCAGGACTCAGGAGACTTGCAGAAGGTCTGCACAGAGCAAGTGAAGGCTCTCCTGCTTGGTCCTCTCCTCAGGATGCGTAAGAGCCCAAGGGGAGGCCTCTCTGCTCCCCGCAGAGGACAGCCACGGCAGCTGTGAGTTAGCGGCTGGTTTTGGTTTTTGTTTGTTTTGCAGTAGTGGTGATTGAGCCTAGGTCCTTCACACTGACCTACATCCTTAGCCCCCTTTCTGGTTTTTATTTTGAGGCAGGGCCGCACTAAGTCGTTTCAGTTGCACAGGCAGGGCTCAAAGTTGTAATCTTCCTGCCTCAGCCTTCCAGAGTTCTGGGGTTACAGGCATGTGCTACCATGCCTGACAGGCTTCGGTTTTATTTTTTTGGGGTACCAGAAATCGAACTCAGGACCTTGCATTTGCCAGGCAGGCACTTGTGCCGCTGAGCTATATCCCCCAGCCAGTTTTAAGTTACTACTAAACATACCAAGGAAAGCCCTAGCATTTAAAAGAAAGACCTGGTAAGGCCGAAGAAAACAGTTGAAGAACAAAGACAAAACAAAGCGTTGGATTTAAAAGTGTGGTTTTAGAATTGGTTAAGGTACTCAGAAAGAACTTACAGTAAAAACAACCTGACAAGTCCAGCATCTGAGAGGAGTTGTATTAAACAGGAAAATGGAATAGAATAAATTGTCAAAGAAACAGCGGAAGGTTTCCTAGAATTGAAGATATTTTTGGATTGAAAGAATCTACAAACCAGGCTTTTCAGATACCCAAGTGTCTTAGTCACTTTCTCGTTGCTGGGACAAAATACCCAACACCCATAAATTAAAGGAGGATAGATTTAGTTCAGCCCGCAGTCTGTAGAGGTGTCCGTCCCTAGTCAGCTGGCTTCAAGGCAGGGCAGTACGGCAGAGGGGCGTCACAGAGGAGAAACAGTCTGTGGCGGGCAGGCAGGAAGCAGCCAGCAGTGAGCCTGCCCGCCTTCTTTCCCTTGTACTCCATTCAGGCTATCAGCCTATTGGTTGGTGCCACGCACACCAGGGTGGGGCTTCTCTCATCAGGAAGTCCACCATGTATAGCCTGCACTATGTTAAACCAATCAGTGGAGTAATGCAGCCTTACACACCATAGTCCAACCTCCCCCGAGAGCCCCACCTATGAGCGCATGAGGCTTTGAGGGGACACGGAGTGAAAGTGACGTTAGATGCAGTTTTGTACTCGAGACCTCCCTGTCAAGCAGGTGTAAAAGCAGAGTACTGTCCACGCATGCGAAGGAGTGGGTATGCTATACTCTTTCTCACTGGGAATTGAACTTAGGCCCTGGCACTTGCCAGGCAGGTGCTTGTGCCATTGAGCTATATCCCCGGCCCGTACACTCTTTCTGAAAGATTACAGAAGCGAGTGGGGTGGGGCAGTGGCGTGGAAGCCACCCCAACTGGAGTAAGTGGCTGGGGACCCAGGGGCGGCCACAGGGGTGCACATTCCGGGTGGCGTGACTGAGACCTGCATTTGTGCTCCGTCGCACCAAACAGTAATAATTACTCTTCAGGTTTCTGTGGCTTGGGCCTTCAGGAGCAGCTCGCCTGCCCTCTGGCTCAGGGTCTCTCCTTTACCCCTGCTCGCAGCTGGGTCACAGCGGTCAGAACGCTGCCCAAGGCTGGAGGACCTGTGTCCGCTGCTGCTCCTGCTCCCTCCTAGGCCTCTCACGGGCCGTGTGGGCCTGTGGGCCGGGACCTCGGCATGCGGTGCATGATCTGGAGAGACAGATGCACAGGGACGCTCGCGTCTTCCCTGACTTCGCCTTGAAGCCTGAGAGTGCGGTCCCCCCGCGGTGCTCGCAGTCCCGCCTCAGGCCCGCGTTGGGGTGGGAAGTAGGTGCGGTTGGAGGAGGACACCGTGGGTGTCCGTGTAAGCCAGCACAAGAGCCCAGACGGTCTGCGGGGTACTTCTTCCCCTAAGTGGTGCGGAGAGAAGGTACCTTCTGCCTCACAGCTGAGCTCTGTGCAACAGTACTTTTTATTAGCAACTATTTTAATCTTTAAATTTTTTAACTGATACATAAATATGCAAATTAATTAATGGCATGCCATGTAATATTCAAGATAGATAGATAGGAAGTATAATGTTTGAACGAGGTTAAACCTATTTTATTTCCTTTATAATTTCTTTATGGTGAAAACTTTCCAAAATCTTCTGTCTAGGAATAGTATTTATGGTCAAAGTAATGTAACATTTTTTTCAACCTAAGGACAAGACCATTGTGATTAAAGAATGGAACATGTTAACCTAGACAATAAAAAAAATCACTGACAGAGAAGTGCCCGTGCCTATCAAGAACCGGAATTTTCTCCTCCCCTGTTAAAAGTTAGGCACTTTACAAACATTAGGTTCCTGTGTGGTAGCCTCAGCTGAGTGGCTTTCCTGCCTCAGCCACAACAAAACGGAAGATGGTCGGGTTCTTAGTGCAGGAGAGGCCGCGGCCCTCGCTCAGCCTGAGGGCGATCATAAACTCTCCCGCCTCCTCTCTCCTCACAGGTGGGCGGAATTAAAGACAAAGTGCTGGCGGCACACAGGGCAGGACTGAAGCACATCATCATGCCTCAGAGGAATGAGAAGGACCTCGAAGAAATCCCCAGCAACGTGCGACAGGATTTGAGCTTCGTCCTAGTGAGCTGCCTCGATGAGGTTCTCAATGCAGCTTTTGACGGTGGCTTCTCTGTCAAGGCCCGGCCCGGTCTTGTGAACAGCAAGCTCTAGGCCCAGCCTTAGCCTGTTGGGGTTTTCAATTACAAAGTGCTGAAAAGTACTGACGAGATTGATTTTATTCACACCACTAGAAGCAGCATGTCGCTAATCTGTGAACATAATCACAACGATAATGAACCTCACTCAAGTAGTGGCTGGTGTTTATTAGATAAATTTGAGAGTTCATTTAATAAATGGATACAAAGAGAATTCTTGTCTTCAGTGGAATCATTAGCGTCCATGGAAAGCTAAACAGCGGTAGTTCTCAGGGTGGTGCGGGCCGCAGAAGCTTCTGGAGCGCCTGCAGGTGAGGAGGAATGTACGGCCTCGGGTGCTGCGGGCCTAGATGGACCTGGGGGAGGGAACCGAAGGCGGCTTAAAGAAGCCCTCAGGTAACTCCCATGCAAAGGCAGCCTGCACAGCTGCTGGTAGAGACCATTACTGAGCAGATGCCGCAGTAGACCTCACTGGACCTGGAACCAGTCCGCGGAAGGGGAAGTCGGCAAATACAGAAATAGAGCCACTGTCCTTGGGGGAAATAAAAGTTGAAGTGAACCGCCTGTGTGAGGCCTGCACCTCCTGGCACACGGTAAAGTAGCACTGGACATAACTGGTCCCGGACGGCACAGCAAGCCCGGCTCAGAAGTCTGGTCCTCCAGGGAGGCAGTCTGTCCGGCATGATGTCCTGACTGCAGCTTCCTCCCGCCCGCCCGCCTGCCATTCACCCAAGGGTTAGGATGGCCACCAAGGCTTCCCCTACTCACGAGCTATGTGAACTCGTGTATCTTAGTTTCCTAGTTTGGGAAATCATACAGTACCGTTGTCATGAAGACTAAGCCAGGATGTAATGTAAAATTGAGTGCTGGGATTACAGACATGCACCCAGTTACAAAGGACATTTTTTTTAAATGTGGGCATTTCTGTAGTCTTTCTTTAGTCCTGACCATGCCTCTTTCACTTGTCTAAGCAGCACTGGGTGTCCTCTGCACCCTGTTTTAAGCACCTCCCCTTTTGCAAAGACCATCCTGAGAAAATCACTGTGCAGTCTTCCCTCCCTGTGCGTGACACTCAGTAGTCCGACCTTCATTTCTCTAGCAGGGATGCTGGTTTGTTGGTGGGACAGATGTTTGTTTGAATTCTGAGCTCTTGATTTTTCGCCTCTTTAACTGGGCAAAACATACATACATTGACCACTTTTAAGTGTCTAAGTGCACATCCAGGAGCAACAACATTCACGCTGTGGCCACTGTCCCCACCTGGTTTTCTTCCATCCCAAAATCTGTTTCCTCTGTCCCCGCAAAGCGAGCGACTCCCCATCCCCCACCCCAGGCCCTGGTAACCGCTGAGCTCCTTTCAGACTTAGGAATGTGCCTATTCCGAGTGTTTCCTCTGCGCTGCCTTCCTAGTGGAGTCATAGAACAGTCCTTTTGTGTCTGGCCTGTCTCGCTCCGCAAATGTCAAAGTTTATCACTGTAACATGCATCAGAATTTCATTTCTTTTTATGGCTCAGTATGACTCCATGCCACATTTTATCCGTTCCTCTCCTGGTCATTTTTGTGGATAATGCTACTGGGAACATGAAGATACCAACACCTCTTCTGTGTCCTTTCTCACCTCTGGGTGTTTCTGCAGATAGGAAGTTGTTGGGTGATACACACACAGTGGCCTGAACATTTCCCACTCTCCCGTGCCGATCCCAGTCACTGGCGTGGTACTGTGAAGTGGGCGGTACAAAAACGTACGTATGGGAGGTGACAGCTATTTTAATTAGCATGATTTAAACGTTACACAATACACACCCATATCAAAACATTTTATCCCATAATCTGTACAACTAATAAAGTCAGTTTTTAACATAAAAGATGTGGGTGCCTTTTGGAAATGATGAGTCCTAAGGGCTCACCCTTGGGAGTGGATGTAGTGCCCTTCCGTTCCTTTACCATTGAGGCGGCAGCACCTCAGCAGAGACCAGGCTGTCGGACACAGCCTTGACCTTGGACCCTCCAGAGCTGGGGGAAATGAGTTCTCCAGCCGCAAGTGTTTTGTGATAGCTGCAAAAGTGCCTGAGATGATGGAAGTCTGCTTCCCTTTGTGACCACTCTTCACCGTGGCACTGGTGTCCCGGTCTTTCCACCCTTGCCAACAGTGTTTTGATAATCACCCTAAATGTGTGACGTAGTACTTGATTCACATTTCCCTAGTGACAAAGGATGTTCACATTTTTCTAGCATTGTTTTTCAAAATGTTACCCTAAGACCTCCTTGTATCACAGCTATATTTTCTATTGAAAATGCTAACACCAAAAATTGTAATTCTGTAGGGTGCTGCAGCCAGCTGTTATTGAAAGCTCTAAAAAGTTCGCCATCACTGGCCTAGAGGTAAGGCCTTAGGACCTGTGTACTTCACCGGGACTCCACTTGCTTACACATGGGCTTTAGAAGCTCTTCAAGCATTAAAGTTCTATAAAGCTTGAAATGCCTTGGTTATTGCTTGTGTGTTGTCTGAGGCATTCAGATTTTCATTTGGCTCTACCCACTTAGTGATTCCTATGAATCTCTCATCAGAGACAGAAATCCTTAAGGCACTTGACTACCTACCTGTAGCTTCTGTGACCAACACCGCCTGTTAAAGTGGTTGTTCCTAAAATATTTAGTATCGGTTGGTAAATCTGTGGCCATAGGAAATTGTGAATATTAAACATTCCTGAAATGTTCTTTAAACCAACTGGGAATGTGATAGTTAACTGTGTCAACTTGAGCAAGAAACACCCAACTAAACTGGCTCAGCACAGTTCTGGTATGGAAGACAGCCCTAGGGAGGACTGTCACCAGATTGCTATAAAAGGGAAAGGGAGAGGGACTGCTTCTGTTTCTTCGGAGGAGCTCCTGTCTTCACTTTCACCTTGGATGTCGTCTCCTGGCTTCCAGCACAGACTCTCTGGCCTCCAGCACCGACCCTTCAGCCTTCCAGGTCAGACTCTTCAGCTTCCTGATAGGACTCAAACAGGACACTAAGGGAGCTCCACACCTTTGACTAGATCCTTTGGATCTCCAGTGCACAGACAGTCCTTTTGCACTCTTCCACACCCAACACTGTGGGCAGCCATCGTAAGCTAAACTGTAAATTGTTATATATTTGTATATCCTGTATTATATCTGTTTCTCTAGTCAACACTGACTGATATACAATTTGGTAGCGGAGAAATGGGGTGGTTGCTGACTGTACCTGACTGTGTGGTTCAGGAGCCTTTGGGATTGGCTTGTGGGGTTAGGTTCACAGATGCCAGCTGAAGAAGCAGCCCTGAAACACCTGAGGCTGTACTTGAGAGATTCTGCTCAGAGCTCAGGAGATCAGAATGCTGCTAGAAATCCTGCTGGTAAAGACAAGGCTCAGGAGGTTTCTGCTAGGAAGGTCTCCATTGGTTGTTGGAGTCAAGTCAATGTGTGTTGTGTCTTGGCAGAAAGTTTGCATTTTGCTTATGTCCAGACTTTGCCTGAGGCTGAGGTTAAGGCAGTGGACTAATTAACCTTGCAAAAGAAATATCAAGACAGCCAAATGTTGAGGTGGTGGCATGGCTACTGATGAGGGCTTTTAGGCAGATTTATGTTGAGAATCAAGAGGCCAGCAGAATGATTTAAAATGTTGAGTTTGGACACAAAGGAAACTCCAGTAAAGCTGTGGACTTCAAAGACAGGGCAGAGATCTTGACTGCTGAGAAGAAACAGGAGAACAGAAAAGATGGCTTGAGGGTATCACAAGCAGCAGCAGGACTCCACCCCTTGCAGCCTCAAAGTTGATAAAGTGAGACTGCTTTGAGAAGAAATCCCCAGTGCACCATGTTCCAGAGTAGTGGCAGCCTAGGGAAGTTGCTCCTTGGGATTCGGTTTAGAGTGCTCAGTGATCCACATACTCGACCCCTCAGCCAAGAGAGAAGGCTGACTACTGCTCTAGCTGGCATTAGGCCTTGGCATCATCCACATGATGCTGGTTTTAGATGCATGCAGAATGCAAGAGTTGTCAGGTCTGGAAGGCTTTCCACCCTGATTGCAGAAGGCCTGGGAGGTCAGGCAGTGTGCCCCTGAAAGGGCAGTGTGTGAAGCTGTGCATGTGAAGCTGTAAGTAATAGTAGAAACCCCAAAAGTTTGGAGAAGCCAGGAACATGGGTCATCTGAGGAAAACTGGAAGAAGGGAGGAGAGCAGGCCCAAGAGAGAGCTGTGGGAGCTACAACAGAAGTGCAGTAGGGGTGGAGCCGCCCATGCCCTCTGGAGTTCACAGATTGCCTTGGATGCTGCACATGGAACTACAGGACTTAATGTTTGCCCTGCTGGATTTTGGACTTGCTTTGATCCCACTTTTGTATCCATTTGTACCTTTTGGAATGGAAATATCTATCTTACGCCCCTGTACGTTCGAAGTGTTATTCTTTTCATTTGTACAGTGGCTTGCAGATAGTTTTGTCTTAAAAATCAGGGGAGCCTTTGGACTTGGACTTTACAGCAATGCTGAAACTGTTAGGACTTTGGCAACTCTTGGAGATGGACTAAATGCCTTTTGCACAAAGGGTTGTACAAGAGTCTTTGGAGGGGCCAACGTGGAATGATACTGCTTCTGTCTAGATGCCCCCCAACGCCTCGTGTGGTCATAGGTAGGGCTTTTCCTACTAAATCAGTGCACTGGTAGGTTTGGCACCCACCCCAGGACAAGTAGTCTACATAGAGTATAAAAGGGGCAGAAAGAAGCTGCTCGTACTGGTTTGCTACTTTACTTGCTTTTGCTGCCTCTTGCCTGCCCTGGATACTTTCTCCTCTGCTATGCCACCCTGCCTTGGAGCCAACCAACTATGGACGGAAACTTCTACAAAATGTCAACCAAATAAACCTTACCTCCTTTAACTTTAGGTGTCAAGTATTTTGTCTCACCAATGAGAAAAGTAAGATGGAGAGTTTACAGTGTACATGCTGAAATGTCCCCAAAATATTGTTCTTCCTTTCTCTTTTCCTGACTCCAACCAGGTTTTGCCTTCTGGGCTGGGTGTGTAGCTTGGTGGCAGGACCTATGCTTAGCATTCCTGAGACCCTGGGAATCCCCAGCACCAAAATGTGCATTCTTCCCACTGAACAGCTCTCCTCCTAACAGTGGGAATACAAGCAGGTTCCTTTTCCAGTGCCATCTCCAAGGACACATGATGACTGCATGAGACACACAGCACTGTGACTCCCATGTGGAAAGTGTTCTGGGACCAGGGGCCTGACGCTTAGCACAGTCCCCCCATGTTATGAGATAGCCTGAGGGTAAAAGGGACTTAAAATGTTTTCTTTAGGAACTACTAAATGAAGTACAGTACCCTAAAAGTCTTGACTCTGAGCCACAAAGTGTTTTTAGTCAGGCATGGGGATACACACCTAGGAGGCTGAAGCAGAAGGATCTCAAGTTCGAACCTAGCCTGGGCCACTTACCAATTTAGTGAGACCCTGTCTCAAAGAAAAGCACAAAAAGGGAGCTGAGGTAGAGCTCTGTGTAAGGGTCTGGGTTCAATCCCCAGTACAGTAAGTCCCTGACTTTCACAGGTGTCCTATGTAAGGCTCACTCTGCCAGCTGACAAAGGAATCTGACTTACAAACAATTCTCCTGGAACGGAACTCATTCATAAGTCAAGGACTTAGTGTACTACAAAAAAAACCCAGAAATTAATTTTGCAAATTCCTTTTCCAAATCCAAAGCGTATCGTAACTGAGATTATCAGATATAAACATAAAGTAGTTCTGTTTTGTTTTAATGAAGTAATATGTTCAAGCTCACATTACTTTGGCCAAATAGATCTGCATTTGAGCTCCTCCAGGAAAAACCTGAGCAATTTAAAGAAACAGAAGGACTATAGTCACCATGCCATTTGATGATTCCAGGTCCAATGCCAATGCTAGTTTTCTGTTCTGTTTTACTAACACTTCATGTATCCTACAATGAAAACTATCTAAAATTAAAAAAAAAAACAGCAACAGAAGAGAAACAAAATATTAAAAGAATCAATAAATGTAACCACCAAAGCCAATCAGTGACTGTTGAAATGTTCTAAGACAGTTGTCTCAAAAGGTTTTAATTCTAAAAATGCTTTAACAGCAATAAAAATTCAGTTATTTGGAACATACTAGAGTTTATATTTAATGAATTAAAGAACATCCTCCAATGTGTTTAATAGTACTAAAATAATTTAAATAATTCAAATCTTATCAGAACATTCCTAGGAAATGGGAAATGAAAACCCTTCAGACTAAACCTGTCATCTTTAACCTAACAATGCAAGCCTGTCAAAGTGCAACTTCACAAAATCAAGGATTCTTTGGTATCAGTTTCCATTAATTCTGAATTAATATTCAGACTAGCCTAAGACAGTTACATCTCTAATAAAATTTACTTCAAAGAAACTGCTTAAAGCTGCATACAGAGAAAGTGGGGTTGAGCAAGCCCAGGGCTACAGCGCCAGGTGGGAAGCGAAGCCCTGGACAGCAATGAGCCCTCTTCCAGCCCCATGAGCAGATCCCAGCACCTGTCCACGGCAGCCAGGCGAAGAGGCAGAGTGCACACGAGAGGCATCCCAGACCTCAGGGCCCAGTCCACAGTGCCTGCCACCCAAGCTTGGCAGGTGCTTTTAAGTATGAGAGAGTTTTGTTTGCATGTCATATTGGATAAATGCTATTTCTTTGGTAAATAATCCACCTGGCTTAAGACTGAAAACAGTAAGTCCTCAAGGAAGCCTGTGTTTCAAACAGCCACAGTAGTGTCCACTCTACAGGCTTCTGTACCCGTCTGCCTAGCCCAGGGGCTGCAGTGCTAGCTGCTAACCGCACACCCTCTGCCTGCCTGCCCATAAGCCAAGTAACTTTCATCCACTCTACCATGGCAGCCAGACTGAGCCAGGTATGTTAAGTTTGAGCCAATGTTTCAATTTGGATTCCTCACCAATTCTTCCACTCAGAAATCTGTAGTAAGTCAGGCATGGTGGCGCATACCTGTAATCCCAATACTTGGGAGGCTAAGACAGGAGGATCACTGTGAGTTCGAGGCCAGCCTGGGCTACAAAATAAGTTCAAGGCCAGCCTGAACTGCATGGTGAAAGCCTGTCTCAAAAAAAGAAATCTTGGGCTGGGGATTTAGCTCAGCGGCACAGC